AGACAATTTGCAAAAAATACAGTTTAGGTAATGAGTCAATTAGAGGAATTGAGAAAACCGATTTCGGGTGTTTGAATAGAAATTTTTTAAAAACAAATGACTTTTATCATTTTTCATATAAAATGCTCGATAGAGTTCAGAAAGTTTAAAATTTTCCTAAAAACGATTATGTCAAACGGACAAACTGTTTAGTTATGTGAATCAGTCCGTACCTGACCATAAATTGATATACATTGTAAAACCACTTCATTAACAATTTTTATTAGTTCGACAATAAAAACATATTTTTGGATTTTTATACAAAACTCTTTGCTAAAATTAATTGAGAAATAATTTCGTGAAATCATAAGGTCATTTGAAAAAAATTGCCTAACACTTTTCTTCATACTCTTACCAAACCAAAATTTGTATTTTGTAAACAAATTGGACACAATTTCAAAATGATTGTTCGATTTCTATTCTGAATGCATTTTTTATATTTATACACCGGTCGTCAATAGATTTCTATTTCAAAATTAACCAATTTATAATTTACTGATCAGAATCAACAAAGAAAAAATGTCACAAACAATTATAATATGGTGTGTACTACTTATACGAACGATATAAGTAGTATAAGAAGGGACGTGAAAGAAGAAGTCTCACGGTCAGAAGAGGAAAACGGAAAGCAAATGGAGCAAAAGCAAGAAGTATCAACAGGAAGTAAAGGAAGCAACAACATGAATGGAAGAAGGATGGAGCGTTGGAAGTCACGACTCAAAGATGGTGTGCAAATAAAGTGTTCAATGTAATGTTTTCGTTTTTAATTGACTAAGAGTGTAAATTTGCATAATACAGTTTTTCCGCGCCTGCCTCAGTCTTCTCAATATTCATAAATTATCATTGAATTTTTACTTGTTAGTTCAACAATTTACCTTTAGTAAACTTTTAACGATAGATGAATGGAAAACGTCTACATTTTTTCTCTGACTATTTAAACAGATTTGCTGAAAATTGAGTTGATTTAATTATTACTTACCCATTCATTTTTATATTAAAAAATGACGTCATTTACAAAATTTGGTCTTAAATAAAGCCGTCATATTATCAGTTTCAAACAATATGTATCCAGACGATTTCCGCTACCTAGGTTATTTATTGGTTGACTAAGATCTTACTATTGGCTACAAAGAATTCAAAGTTAAATTTGCATAGAAAATTACTAATTTATACGGAAGAGCAAACAAATCAAGTTGTTAGTGATGACCGGTGTAATACCAAAGTGTATTACAACCTTTGAATTTATGGATAGGTTAGATAGAATTTCAATTTGTTGTAAGCAAGTACTATTTATCATAGAATGTAATAAGACTGGAAAATGTAAGTTTCACGCTGAACTACAAAGATAAAGTTTTATTTTTTTGACACAGCTACAAACATAATTCATCTAGCATCAAAAAAGGTGTTTATCAAGAGTTTCCAGCCACTAGTCTTATTACGACAAATAAACAATTCAATAAGTCAATTCAGAGTGAAAATACGCTGTGTTGCATTGATTTTCGTATACTTGTGATGCGAGATGCTAGTCTGAGAATCAAAAGATAAGTATACTGACTTATAGCCCAATCTGTATTTCTCTATGGTTGTGAAACTTGGTCCACATGGTACCTACCGTCGGAACATTGTACGAGTTTTGTGTAACAACTAAATGAGTAGTGCTGAAATGCACCAACCAAACCAATCATGATGGAGAAACTCTGAAAGAGGAGGAAACTTTTATGTACCTGGGGAGCATCATTTAAAAATAAGGTGGATCTGGTGCGGTTGTGAAGACACAGATTAGAAAAGGGTAACATTTCTACAACTGAAGAACATCTGGAAATCAAAACAACTTTCACTCAACACTAAAGTCACAATTTTCAATGCAAACGTCAAAACCATTCTATTGCATGGAGTGGAAATTCACAGAATTATCATCCATCTGTCAGCCATGATTCAAAGACATTTATTAACAGTTGTCCACGCAAGATACTCCGGATCCGTCGGCCATAAACCATCAGCAATGACTTACTGTGAAAGAGAACTCATCATCATCATCAACAGCAACGTAGAACTTTGAACCTACGTACATCTTTTCAGTTCAAGTTACCATACCAAGTTAGCACAGAGATATAATTGTCAATTCAAATCCCATAGTAGTAGACGTAGTAAAAGTATTAGAAGTAATCGGAGAGATTGGGATTCAAGGAATATAATCTAGTGAAATAAACTTAGAAAGAGAAAGACAGAGGTGTTGAGAAACACAAAGAATGGATGCACCTGCGCCATCGTGAACGGTTTTGAGTCATGTCATTCAAGGTCTCTAACCATCGATTATTATCATCTCGCGGACCTCAACTAGGTAGTCTACGCCTACCCACATGACTCAATCCAGTTGTCAGTGACTTCATGGATTTGTGCCATGTTTTAGTTAGGCCGCGCTTACCTTTCTTCCAACCTACTCCTACACAACAAAACATAGCTCGACGAGGCAGTCGGTGGTTGGGAAAACGTAACACATGTCCTAACCATCTCAACTGATGAAGTTTCAACACTTCGTCTATTGACCTGCCATCCCTAGCTAGGACCCGTTTCCTAATAACAGCATTGCTTACTAGGTTGTCCCAGAATACACGAGCAATGCTTCGGAGACATCTATGATCGAAAACAAGCAACCTACGAATATCTTCTACTCTTACTGGCCATGTTTCACAGCCATAAAGTAGGACGTAGCGAACTGCTGCGCAGTACACTCGTCTGTTGTTTAACAAACGGATATCTTGCCTACGCCATAAATGACGCCATTCGGCATAAGCCAATTCAGGCTTCTGTATCTGTGCTGAGATTTCGTCAGTCACCAGGCCATCAGCACTGGTCAACACGCTCAACTGCTTTACTTCCTATCAGTAGTTCAGGTACCGATGCAACCCAATCTCGAAGCAACTTTTGCATTTCGAGGGTGAGAACCGCATCCCGAACATTCTTGCATCGTTGCTTAGGGTAGTCACAAGACTGCATTTTGTCATTGTCTTGACCAAATAGAACTATGTCATCGGTATATTCTGAATCAATAAGCGAGCCTCCTGGTAGAAGGTCTACTCCTGAAAATTCAGACGAGGATAAGGTTATATCTAGCAGCATGTCTATGACAAAAGTGAACAAGAATAGGGAAAGTGGAGATTCCTGACGGACACCACTTGAAGTAAAGAATTCCGATGACAGTTCGCCATAAGCTCTAACTCGGACTGTAGTGTTCGAGCTGACTCCGCTCTTCATCGCACTCAGTGCCAGGCGGGATGAGCTTTCGAGCATCCATCAGTTCAGTAGATGCTAGTGAGATCCACGGCTGCTCCCTAACTTTATGGCATAGGTGATTTCCGAAGGAACTCAGCTTACATAAATAGATGTAATGATTCTTCTAAATGAAGACCGTTCAACTCCCACAGTAGAGTTTATATTGTTTGAATAATTTTTTCTTGCTGGTGTGTTTTTAGCAAGTAAGTTTTTTCTGGGATGGGGTCGCCAACCTACATCTCAACCCTCTCGTTTACCCGTGCTTGGGACCGGCAGTAGCCCCGAAGGGTCTAAAGGCGGAACGGTTTGCACAGCTACAAACCGTTGGACTTAGCTGTGATGGTATATGGAGACAGTGGAGTTGAGGTCTGCAAGATAACTAGAACCAGTGCTTGAAGACATCCGAAGAGAGTCGTTTACAAAGGCACAGATGCGCCTACTCTGTAGCACTCTAGATCTTGGGTTCTGGTATACCTTCATACGCATACCTTTACATCCTTTCTTCGTAAAGCATTCCAAATCTTTATTTTTCCTCATTATCAACGCTACTACATTTCCTTTCCTTTTCTTAGATTCATCTTATCGTGTTAATATGGCTAATATAAGCGATTCACATAAAGTTGTTGTAAGACAGATCGCTGGGTATTTTGTATTACAAGATGCTTGTAATTGTCAAGCTTTTATAAACTATCCCTAGTGAGTTTCATTTTCATTGAGGAGAATGAGGCTGTGACGTAGAGACATACCTTAATTTAGTAACTTAGTCGTAAGCCTATGATCTTGTCCAAGAGAGAGTTGTCAGTTTAATCACATCCGACTTACATTGCACATAGCTACCAAAGACACCTACCCGGAGTACGAATTTATATATTTCTAATAAACGATGAATTAGGGCTATGATGAACATAAAAAAGTCTAGATTTCAATATTATAAATCTCATCAACATACTGCATTACAGTTATATCACAGTTACATCGTGTAAGATGAAGTACTATCCCTAGATATGATTGCTAATCCCTATCTCAAATGTTCGAGATAAATAAAAACGGAATAACTATGATTCGGAGGGAAAAGTATTTGCGTATTAGACAAAATCGATAATTACAGATACGAAAGTGTGATTAGGGAAGAATAGTTAGATAGACACATATCAGGATACACAATATACCGCGGATTGTTTATGCATTATGTAGGCGATCGAGTTTATGTATATAAGTAGACAGACAGGTTTTGTTGAGAAATTAGAAATCGGCCAATAGACAATAAGTTTGTACAAAATCACATCCTGTAGGAGTCAAGACAAATTCAGTTAGCAGACAAATTTCATTCGGATAGGTTTTTCTTTCATATTTACAAATATTAAGAAGTGCCGCATCCAAAAATGATACCAGCTAGTTAGGGAACAAAGCTAAGTTAAATGAAACTGCATACTGAACAGTAAAATTATCACTTAGTGAAAACATAAAATGCACCAAACGGAATGCCATGAAGAAGCAATATCAGATACAATAATACCTAATGAAAACACTTATATCCACGGTACATGAATTAAGTGACACTTGGAATACATTGTTGTGAAGAGAACAACAGTAGATAAAGTTGGGACTTGTAAAATAATTTAGTTGAAAGTTGTCTATTAGCTATCCAAGTAGATTAATATTCGATAAGATAGTGTTATAAACATGTTACCTTTGTGTACTGTTATGATATAACTAAGACTCGGATAAATTACGAGAATAGTGGCATTCATTTGGTAATTCGAATCTGTAATCATAACAAGGAGCTTAATTATGAATTGTTGAGATAAAATACACCCGGCAAAAAACATTCATGTACATTATAAGCATGATTAAAGATGGAAAGTAGATTAAAATTCCCTAAGTATAACAATGGGCTATATTTTGTGGATGTCAATGATGAAGGGGTTAGCCAGAAATAAACTCCCCCCATAATAAATAGCAATATCCCATTATTTGAACTATCAGTCTTTAGAAATCTATGGTCTATGGAATAAAATGTGAATATATTTGAATTACATATCAATTACGAAAAGGCTGAAAAATATCAATATGGATTTAAGACAGTCCAAATATTTGAAATTAAAAATATCCATGATCGTGTAAGGTATGGTAGCCTATGGAACTTAACTGTAGAACCCAATTCGGTTAACGGATAAATTTGTTGATTACTATTCAATGTATAATAATATACGGTTATGATATAATACCATATTTCAAGCATTTTTCATCTCAACAAGAGTTTGAATTATGTCAAATGATTTTGACACTTCCAGTACCATATCTTAACATAAGATTATTGTTTTTAATACAAAGATTGGAGATCAGCATCTGAGAATGTTTGTTACAAGATAGACATTTAAAGTGAATTGTTTTCATTGGGACTGAATAAAGAAATAGTTTGCTTAAATTAGTACCTTTAAAATAATACCATGTCTCAAACATTATTAATATATTATTGATTGGGTAAACGTTGCAGAAGTAATATCGACAAGGAAAATAACTTGCATAAATATGTATACAGTAGAAGAGAAAACTATCGACAAAATGTGAATAATATACATGGTGAACAAAAACGATAGACATCAGTGCATTTGAAAGTATTATAAACTATGCGAATCTGAATCTTCAAAGAATAAGTAGGGTAATGGATTGAGACAGCAGTTAGACGTTGTTGCTATATTTGTCAACTGATCAACAAAACGCGACTAGAACTAAGTACTTTCTAGGAATGAAATGGGTTGACAACGTGGACTGGTGCATAAAGAATACCCTAGACGTAAACATGTCAATGACAAAGAAAATTAAACATATCAAATGGAATCAAATATTCATTTAGTATAACTATAACATTACAAGACACGATCTGAATATATATATATATATATCCATGGGGTACATACGGGAAAAAAATATGTACAAATGAAAATATGAAGTAGGATTACCGAAGACTGGGGAAGTGCAAAGAAAAGAATAGTTACTTATTTGGCAATGAAAAAGAATGTAAATTAGAAATTTTTAGAAGAAAATGAGCTCATGATTTGGCAAATATATATATATATATATATATATATATATATATATATATATATATAATGAATAATTATTCGTTGAACAAAAAAATACCAATAAACAAGATTGTGTTTGGATGGATCAGCTGAAATTGTAGAATACTGTTTATCTTTGTGCAAAGTTCGTATTTAGTTCCGCTTGATAGATAAGGGTTATATGGTAATTACATCCGTTTAGTAAAATGCAGTACAGATCCATTATGATCTTTTCTTCCGGGGATCTAAATTCACACTACAAAAAAACAATTCCTTTCATTAGAAACACGAAACAATCATTTTTGATTATCTATACCATTTACCACACAAAGAACAAATACAAAAAATCTAGCAAGCTGGAGTTAACAAAATATTAAACTAATTACCATCTAATGAACCCACATAAAAATACGCAGTTCAGTTGAATAGTCATCCATGTTTGACAAGCCGGATGTTAACATACGAACGCATAACTGTAAAAGCACACGAGACCATATTGGTCACACCTAACTCTTCTCACACTAATGCATACGATTTGAGTTCGCGAAACGTTCTTCCTAGTCTCCAGAAACCACATTCCAAATTACATGGAGCTTTTAATGTCCGAGCCTTGTGTCACAAAGAACAACAAGCTTCCTTAGCTAGGACTTTAGAATCTCGCGCCATCGATGTATAATGCGTCTCCAAAACACACATATATGATCCAGGTAGAGTAATTCACTTGACTTCACCTTGTCAAGATAAAGAACCGTCTCGGCTTACGCTTCGTGTATCTGGAAGCCTAACTGCTGCTTCCCGTGATGTCGCTGGTGTAAGTATAGCATTGAGCCCTAGGGAAGAACTAGCTCTCTTAGACTGGATCCCAGTGGATATTCGCTTGTGCGCTGTTCGACTAAACGGGACAGTAAGGACGCGAAAAGATAGGAACACTCCCCATTGCCTTTTCGTCGTGCCTGCAGCTCAGACGAGGTAAAAAATGAATTTTACGGAAACCTTTCTGAGCCTCTTCAAAAAGCTAGGCGCTCTGATATAGTAATAATGGCTGGTGACTTCAATGCTCAATTAGGTAAACTAAGTGAACAGGAATGACAACTGGGTGGATCTTATGGTGTTGTGGCTCAGAGAACAGATAATGGCGACCGTCTGGTGAAGCTATGCTCAGACAATCGCCTATTTCTGGCAAGTACTGATTTTGAGCACAAGGGAAAACATCTGTTGACCTGGCGACCCCCAAACCCGACCCAACGCTGGACCTAGGTAGATCACATCACTATCAGCCACCAATGGAAAGGCTCAATTGAAGACTGCCACTCGTTCTGTAGAACATGTTTAGATTCAGATCATGCTCTAGTGCAAGCGCGTATTTGTTTGCGCCTTACTGGACGTAGGGAAGACAACACAAGGAAACCCCTTAGGGTTCTACTTAGTGATAACATAGCTAAGAATATATTTCAGGAGCAACTAGAAAAACAGAGAGGCAGCCATGTACGTGATGCCCATTCTGAGGCAGCTTGGAATGATATCCAAAAATCTGTGGAAACAGCAATGATATTTACCAGTAAATAAAACCATGAGGTTAGGAAGCAGCAGTGGGTTTCAGTAGCATCTGCTGAACTGATGATAGATACTCGGAAACTAATCCCAACTGGTTCTGAACATGATGAGGAGCGGAGTCAGCCTAAGAGCAGACTGATATGAAGCCTACGCAATGATCGCGAACAGTGGCGAGTAGCAAAAGCAAGAGAGATAGAAAAGGCAGCGCTAATAGGTAACAGTAGACAACCGTTCCGAATTATCATGGAAACTAGTAGTAGGAATCCAACTGTAAGTGAGACTATCTCGGAAAACGATGGGATTATTATTCCTTCTCAATCTAGGAGATTGGATTGATAGGCAGAGCACTTCAGGGATTAACTCAACTGGCCTTCAGCCACACTTTTGTTATTTTGGATCCCCAGTCAACCTGAATGGCGAATTGATGTGAGTCCTCCGGCTCTTACTGAAGTTGAAAAGGCTATAGGAAGTCTAAGGCGTGGGAAAGCAGCAGGTCCTGAAAGGCTTACCGCTGAGATAAGGATGGTAGTGCAGTTTTAGCAGTTAGATTGACTGAGTTCTTAGGTAGGATTTGGGAACTGAGCTCATCTGACTAGTCTCAATCCCTGATTGTCCCAATTTGTAATAAAGGACAAGAGTCCTCTTGTAACAATCACTGAGAAATCAGTCTAACTAATATAGTTTCTAAAATATTAGCTTCAATAATAATTCAACGTCTAACCAGAGCTTATGAAGAGCGAACACGAGAAAAGCCGGATCCTGCAGTTCATATTCACAATTTGTTTGGAATGAAGGTTTGCCGACTCCGCTAGACAGGCCTTCCGAACCCAACAACCCAGGTAAAGCCCTGGACACTCAACTTTTGTCTTCTCAGCTGTACGAGAAGGTAGTGAGTATTGCTTCCCTGTCGGTGGTTATGTATGCATGGACATACGAGAACATTCCAAGTGGACTCTCCCCAGGTAATTTGGGGGCCATCAGCGTCTATTCAGGCATCAGGTTCAAACGAACAGTTGACACGTATGTATAACAAGCCAATATTCTAATTTTCTTGTTTTCACTTTTCAACAACAGTTCTGATATGTTATACATGGTTTTTGGTTGCTATGATTACAGGAGAAATGTCGATCAATTGATGATGCAAAACGGTACGTAGCCAAGTAAAAACTTTAGTGACTAAATTTACCGAGTTTTTTAACTCATTATGAATTGTGTTGTCTTAGGCTACCAACAAACTCGACCACCGAATCGTTCAAAAACCAACACAGAATGGTATCTTAAATCTAAAAGGCGGATTATTTTATTGCTTTGAGTTAGATACAACACTACGACGGATCCCCGATCCTAGCTGCTACCTTGACGTGGTGGTTGGGCTTACCTATCATAATGAACAAACCGAGCTGTTAGCTGGAACATATGTTCCTGTACGTTCTACCATGCCAGGCAGGTCGATTAAAGAATGGTAAGAGTAAAGGCATCAACTTAGGGTCTGAAGGCGAAGTTGTACTGCCGACTACAGAGGGGTGTGACAGCAATAAGGTGTTTCCCTCAGACGACCAGCATCTGCAGCGATGCTGCCTTCTCACAAGGAAGGAAATGATTAGACAAGGTCGACCCTAAAAAAGTGTCACACCTCACCTTACATAACGGATTTCTGTCTCCGGCAGTAAGGCCACTTGAAGAGCGGAGCTAACACGATACAATCTTCTCATAGAAGGGCCGTACGTGACCGGCCTCAAGCAGTTGTCACTTTGGTTCTACGTTCACGCTCCCAGGTCGCTCAAACCAACGCTAATCCGAATTTTCTTTCCAGGTTCCTCGAGAAACACCGTTCTACGGTATGGACAGTCGAGAAGTAACATCCGATCTCATACCTGTAAAAACACACGAGACCGAGTCGGTCACAATCGATCCTTTCTACATCGCTATCTTTGTTAGTAGTCAGAGTTCCGTGTTCTAGGGGAAACGACTAAGTTTACGAAGTCATTCAACCGAGAAATTGTATTACTAAGAGAATGTAGGCCTCTACTTCTTTCTACCTATAATTTTATATGATAAACTATTGGAGTCAAAAAAAATCTATTAGATGATCTGAAATTAAACTTTTCTGCAGTCACAAAACCTTGGACCGAGTAGCAAGGTTGATCTACTGTCGTTATAGCGGAATGGTAACATCAGCTGCTTATCTGAATACTAAAAACTAATTAACATTTTATACCATATATATATATATATATATATATATATATATATATATATATTCATTAGAAATAAGAGTTTGGCAACTATTTATAACAAGCAATTCTCTCTTTGGAGGTTTAAAAATTTATAACCTGATAATCTGAAGTGATATAATACTATAATCTGTCAAGGGAAATAGAGAGTATCATCCAACACCTACTTCCTACTGTTCCCAATAATTCTTCCATAACTCTACAAATAAAGAGAACACGCAAAGGCTATGAATCGATCGATTTCTGTCAAATCTACTGCTAAGAGGTGCAGCAACCAGTCTATTATAGTTTATATATCGCAAGATATGAGCTACATATTTCGTATAAGTTGATACTACCGAGCTGATCGAACATTAGACAAAGAAGAAACCGATTTGGCATCAAATTGCTTAAAAAGTCAGGTTTACATAACAGGTAATTAATCATACTTTAGAATCTAGTATATGGTTAAAAAAAGAACAAGAAATACATAGTCGTAACGCGCTAAATGACAACGTAAGTCATCAAAAATAGGAAGTGCTTAAGGAAATTTACTTGATTCAGCAGCAGTGGGACGTGAGGGTGCACCATTATTATTAATCATTTTAAGATCTTCATTATCATTCATTGCAGCTGAAGAAACATCGCATCCTATACCACTCATTGTTGGGTGGATTGTAGCTGAAAGTAAGGTATCAATAAAATCCAATATGAGAAAAAGCCATTTTCGCATAAATAGTAGATTTTCTAACTGAGAAATATTATCGCATAAACGTAGTTTATTATCATTCAGCTGTATAATGGTGGTTTAGCAGTTAATGTGTTCGACTTTTAACCACTAGGTTCTAGGTTAGAGTTACAGCTCCATCTGCTTCAGTCTGGACACTTAGTGTCGCTAGGATCTATACATTGTCTCTTAGAGCCAAATAAAAAGATTTGTTGTACCACCACTAGAAAACTTTTTTATTAATCAGTATCTATGTCATTGATTTTATCAATATGGTGTATAATGATGTATAGATGAAGAGATATTACTGAAAAGACAGCATAAAAAAATCTTACCACTGATATGGATCAGAAAAATAGTTCATATTTTTCTCATTACACAAAAGTAAACTAGATCAACTAAGTTGAATAGAATCACTAAGATATAACTACTTTTGCTCCCGTTACTAGTCTAGCTTGATAAAATGTTTTTTAAACGACTTACCTATGTCAACTTAATATACGGATACAATAAAACAATCAAGATGGAAACTGTACGATAATGAACACTGATGCATGCTTTCGCCCAAAAATTCATGTCTGTGAATGTTATCTGATCGAAAGTAATTAACGGTTTTACTAACAGACAAACATATGTTCGAAGCAATATAAAAACAAATTACTCTGAACAAGGCAACATATCTATCTGTGAAAACAAAATCCTGGATGAGATAACATACTACAAGAAAATTAAACTCTTACATTCTGGAGTCGACTGATTCCCACTACAGCTCGTCCCGATTGAGTTGTATAGCATAGGAGAATTATTTGACTTGATAGTTGTAGACATCAAAGTTGAAGGTGCAGAATGAAGAACATTCTGATTATCCATCATATCCATTGCAAAAGAGGAGGAGGTCAGTGGGGAAGTCAAAGGGGTACCTGGAACAGACACATGTCCCATTTGCGTACCCCCACTGCCCATCACTTCATTTGGCATCATAAAGCTCGACTGTTGAGATGATACAACCGAGGAACCCAACCCATTCGGAAGGGAAGGTGGGGTGAAACGCGCGGGAGGTCTTGAAGGAAGAAGGCTGGGAGAGGCACAGTGAGGGAACCCACTTAAACCATTCGTACCGTCAACTAAAGACGAAGCACTACTTGACCGGGTTGGTTGATGCATACCATCTGCATTTCCTGATGGCATGTAGTGATCTAAACAAAAAACGAATAATGAGATACTTGCCTGAACTTAATTCTAGATGAATAAGAAATCAAGCTTCCTTATATTTAAAGCATGATACTTCTTGGTCTCAACATCAAATAAAATATACGTGAGGTATCTCCTATACAGTTTGTACTAGTGTCTAGGTGAGAAGTGAAAACCAAACACTAGGACTACGGAATTTGTTTAATAAGGAATACGCTGAAACATACAAAGGAAGCTGAAGTAAGCACTGAGAAGAGACTATTGTTGAGACATTAACCAACAATTATATCTACGTGAATCATCAGGAAGAGCTTGAACGAAGGATTAATACTTCTGCATGACTAAGTAAAATACACTAAGTGTATAAGATTTGCTTTCCCCATAGAAATTTTTACGAAAACGCAAGATATCTCCATCTTACAGCATTTTCCACTATCCAAATGTAATAATAGTGATAGCTGTAACGAATGTAACCATAAAAGTAAACCATAAATTATCTATATTAAATGACAGTTTAGAGTTAACATAGTATCTGCTTCATAAATGTTCGTATTACACCCAAAATTGGTATATAAACTATCCCACTTTGTGAATAGGTTATTGCATTATTTTGTAAGCATTATAATGTGCCAGCTTCAGCCTAGATAGAAACGATTCATTTCATAGAAATAAAAACTTACCGCTTCTGTTAAGCATACTAGAGGTTGATATTTGGGCTTTGGTAAACGCTGGCATAAATTGTTGTCCCATCATTTGAGAGTGATGATGCAAATTTCTATTCGGCGCTGAGCTTGAATAAAACGATTGACTAGGAGGCATAGAAACTGATTGATTTTGTTGTAAAGAAGTAAGATTACCGGGAAAAACACCTTCATGCGGCATGTTCTGATTTGAACCACCTGAAGATAGTGGACCCGCACGAAAATGAAGGGAATTTATCTGTTGCTGTGGTTGGTTAGGATTCAACATGTTTCCTCCTGAACTCAAACCTAGTGGAGAAGATATAATACCAGCGGGCGAATCGCTAGAGCCAGGAAAAGGACCAGAATTTATATGAGAAGCCATAACGCTTGAATTGGCTGCAGCAGCCACGGCATCATATTGAGTATTTTCTAAGCGAGTTATTAAGCGTTCATCTTCGTCACCGAAATCCCCACCCATAAGAGTTGGTTCACCAACTATCATCACATCCTTTCAAAGAGAAGTACACATGAAATGTATAAGAGGTTTACACAAACGAATGATGAAACACTGGATTATGGCACAAATGCAAGTCGTAACAAAATTCACCCAGAGTTTGACTTGTGCTGGTTCAATAAAAAACAATATACCACAATGTTAGATATGATTCATTTTAAAGCATATAACTTACACCAGGCTGAGCAATATGATGGGATGGTAGTGGAATAGGTGACTGTTTGCGTTTTGAAGTTCGACCTGCGTTATTTGTACCTTCAGTTGTTGCTGAACTGCCTTTACGCTTACGTCGTTTGCTGGGTTGGCGTGTAGCTTCTGAACGAAGGAAAATCGATATAGGAAGGGTTAGAATGTAGGACAATTATTAACACGGTGAAATTAGGTCAAATAATGAACCTATTTCATAGAAATGTTTTTCACTACCACGTATAAAAATTTCAAAGTTAAAATACAGCACAGAAGAGCATGCGATGACTTGGCATTTACAAATTTTGTGAAAACCTAGATGTACTTTTAAGACAAATAGAGAAGTCAATGAATACAAATTAAAAAGAAATTACTCTAAACTATCTGCTAGTAATACTTTGAATCATGAGGTGTCCTCACTCCCGCAGGGCATTCAGTCAGTCAACTACAACGTAGAACTTCGTACGGACGTACATCAATTGAAGTTGCCATACCACATTAGCATAGAGAGATGGAATGGTCAATTCAAACCCCATAGTAGTAGATGTAGTAGAAGTATTAGAAGTAATTGAAGAGATTAGGGTTTGAAGATATGTTTGCAGAGGCATAATTCAGTGAAATTTAAAACATCAAACACAGGTAAGCACTTTGAAAGATAAGCACTTGTTAGGGTTTTATGAAAAGTTAAATGACGTCTATAAAATTATGTAACTCAATGATTTAAAATGTTAAATAGGCGGTCCCGAAGTTTGTATAGTAAAAATAAGCTAGTAATGCATCTCATGATATCACTTTATTGCAACATGTAATTTTTGCCTTTGTTATAAACTCATAAATTATGAATACCATTGCTAGTTAGTTATGCTGTATTTTTTGACATGTCCGAAATGCTAATTACCGTCTTTAAATGAACATACACATGGAGAGTGGAAAAAGTGTTAAACAAACCTTGGGGCATCATTCTCTGCCATTTCTGAAATAAAGTAGTCTTAAGGCAGTCGCGGGGTGTGAGACTATACGCCTTTTGACGGGACATAAGCTCTTGCATTGGTTCCAGAATTATACATAGTCGAAAGAAATTCAGTGTGGTGTTTGTCATGCCATATCTAGTGATGTTTTTCGATAATTGATCCAAAAAAGCTGGGTCCTAGGCAAACAAAGCATTAAAACTGTACTAGCAAAGTAGCAATACAACCGTCAAATTACATTTTGAACAGGATAACTACCCATGAAATATGATTACGGTTAGGACGATCATAAAAAGACGATCACAGTTTAACTAACCAAGCACAAGTCCGCAAGCTACGTTTTGAACTATGAACTAAGATAACTTACTTCCCGGCTATAAATCTTCCCATTTTTTGTTTATTGTTTAACTGCTGTTTAACATTGGTCTTCTGTTTTATATATATTATATAAATATATATATATATATACATATACATTAAATTAATTCATTTTTCTAATTCGAATAATTTAGTAAACGTTAATTAATAATTACACAGAGAGGGAAATGTACTTACTTGGATGCCAAGCATAGAGCGCATTATCATCTCACGATGTGTCCGGATAAGAAAAATCCACGATCGAATCCTCATTAAATCATCGAAAGCAAAATCGAGTGTTAATCGACCTTCCACAACAACCGTAACAGGAATAGACCTGACCATGGTCATAGTCATCGTTGCAGATTCTGAATCCAGTGTTAAAATTGGATGATGAAAATATTCATGGTTCAACCTAAGGTTGTAATATAGCTCACCGCATCCACTTTCAAATATACTGCGAAAATAGCGGGGAATAAGTGTTCGCCCAATCGCTAAGAGAGAAATGTGACATAAGATAAACTTACTGTAACTCTTTGGACCTTCTTCTGTCAGGAAAGCAAGAGTAAGTGTTGCATCGTCTTCAAAAAAATCAGTAGCAAACGACTCCCACCACAAACTATCACAGTCCTGAAAATAGGTTAGTGTCTTGGAAAACATGTACAGACATACGTCGCTGCGCTGTTGTAACCGCTTATTCATTTCAAAAATCCGTAGCTCTGGTTGACCAATAAGGTGCGGTAGTCGATTCCTGAAACAAAAAGGAAATTGTTCATGAAATATTAATGGCAGTGTATGGCATAACTATTTTAAATGGAAAATTAGATTGAAAAGTGGAGTGGCTTTTGTGATATTTAAATAACTAAATTCGTTTGTAAGAACAAAGCCGAATCTTCACAAAATTTCTGACAAACAAATTTTGCATGTTGAAATCGATGCTATTGTTTTAGATCCGCCATAGTCAGTCAGCCAGCCACAACGAAGTACTTCGTACGGAAGAACATCAGTCTATGTTCCCATACCACATTAGCAAAGAGACGCAATCGTCAATTAAAAACCCATAGTCGTAGAAGAAGAGTCCCAAGATATTATTCAAGTGTAATTCAGTGATATAAATTTAAGAACAGGAGATGATAAAGAATTCCGATTACAATATAGGAGATTATGGTTAATGTACTTCTGCGGGACTCGTTTCAGAGACAAACAATGCCACAAAACCTCACGATCAACAGAGTCGAGTGCCACCTTAAGGTCAAGGGTGACAGCTTTTGTAGGACGCCAGAGTGTCTGTGTTCCAGGACCTGTCTAAATGTGAATATGTCGTCCATACAGCCACGTCCAGGTCTGAATCCAGCCTGCTTTTCTCGAGTTCGCTCTTCATAAGCTCTGGTTAGACGTTGAATTATTATTGAAGCTAATATTTTAGAAACTATATTAGTTAGACTGATTTCTCAGTGATTGTTACAAGAGGACTCTTGTCCTTTATTACAAATTGGGACAATCAGGGATTGAGACTAGTCAGATGAGCTCAGTTCCCAAATCCTACCTAAGAACTCAGTCAATCTAACTGCTAAAACTGCACTACCATCCTTATCTCAGCGGTAAGCCTTTCAGGACCTGCTGCTTTCCCTCGCCTTAGACTAATAACACTAATGATCAGCTTTCACAATAGTTTATTAAAAGACTTATGAATAATGTAATTTTCTGATTGCATTTCATGGGTTACATGAGCCCTTTCAACTTCTAAGGTAATTGACTGGGTGAAGTTTCGTGTTTCGCGAAAACAAGGTTTGCATTCCATAAGCAGTGAAAACTACGTATCAGTAGGTAGTGCATCAACGCCACCAAGAATGTGACTGACCAGGAACGTTTACACAGCAGCTTCATTGACTCAACAAACAGGTGTCGCAGAACAGGATAAGAAACAAACCATCTGGCCAAACAACTTGCGTTTAACATATCACATAGTTTGAGCTACAAACCTTAAGGACGACCAGTGTTAAATGAGTGTTGGGAGCATGTTCAGTAGATACTCAAAATCCCCATCTATAAACAAGAGGACATTACGTACGTGACAAAAAAAAGTACTAGAACTAAACTAATGCTGGGCAGCTTTGAAAGGTGCTTATTTTCAGGCCGGTATCACGACATGTGAATCTTTCTGGTTGGTTGGTATGTAAGTGACATTTTCAATAATCATCTCCATCATCACCAGTAACTGGAAAGATCGTCAGTCAGCCGGTCATTTACAACGTAGAACTATACGTACATACACAAGTCCACGTTGTCATAACAGCACAGAGACGCAATTGTGGTATGGCAACCTGGACTAATGAATGTATGTACAAAGTCCCACGTCGTATTGACTGATTGACTGACGATCTTCCCAGTTACTGGTGATGACAGAGATGATTACTGAGTGCGACACACATCAACTAACTGGAAAGATAGGCAGTATATTGAGGGAAGATAAGACTGGTAGAAATTTACCTCACCGTTAACAATTTGTCAATAAAGCGAGGTAGTTCGAAGTATACGACGACTGAAGATTAGAACCGTAAATGATTAACAATCAGATTGCAACACATTACCGATGAAAACAATTACGCCAGATATAACACTAGTACAGGACGAGAGAGACCCATGCCATATCAGTACTAAAAACCCTAAACTTTTAGAGGTTTATAAGCATATACTTGTAAATCACTGCTGGTTAAATGATAGGACACTACAGCATAACTTTAGATTAGTAGGAAAGTCTGAATTTACGAGACGACTAAGGTATAAGTATTGGATACTAGACTATTTCTTACATGGTCAGGTACGATCTTTGCCAACAAACCGGTTGTGGCGAACAACCGGGACTGTAAGTACTTGGATAGAAATGAAACACCGCACATACTTGTGAATGGAAACATATCAGGACTGCAAGTCACCAGAGGCCAGGTGTGCAGTGCCTCGTGTGAGGTTGAGATACTACCAAGCTATAGGACGTGAAAGTAGGCTCGATTATGATACCTAATAAATTAAAAAGGAAACTATCAGGACAAACTGAAATTCTGATCAATATGCAGTGATAACGTAAAGCAAGCCGACGTTAAACCACATGGAAATTAGCCGTGAAAAATTCAGCTTGGGCTGAGGCTTATAGTCTCAATTAATGGTAACCTGAGATTGCTGTTTGAAAAATATTCATCAAAATGGTAAATACATCTTTAAAACAGCAGTTAAGATAGACTTACAGCGATAGCAGTGGGTGGTGATGAAACTGGCTAGGATGACCGTGTGGGACCATGTTTGGAATAGGATGGGGGGAACCAGGATTCATACCAAGAGTAGAGAAATAATGACCTGGTATTGGACCGGAACCTGAAGATGGTGTAGCAGGCTCACGGTCATGAGGACCCGACATCGGGATACCATGACCTGAGTGGAGCATCCCTATATAATTACTTATTGACCAAAAGTTTCATACCAGGTGGAAGGGTGTTCGGCAAATTTAAAGAACTAGATATTACCGGGCCTGAGTGAACTGGTTGCATATGGAGAGGTTGAGACCCGCCACTAGCGATGGCAGAAGGCATCCTGTTCATTGGCGTTTTAGGAGGGAAGCCAACTGCATGTGGGAAATTCAAGAACTTATCCGGGTATTCTGAGATATTGGGATCCAGTGTTGGTTAACAAACAACCGAATATACAGACTTCAACGAGCCAACCAAAATGGAGTCGTCCTAAAATAGAGAATCAGATAAGTCAAACAAAATTAGTCATCTTGCTGCAGAACATTGTTCAGAGCCTAATTCGACATCGCTACTTCCACTTTTCCAGTAAGCTTTTAATGATTTAGAAGGTGAGCCTTTCGATGACAAGATTATATCGACATTTGAATTAAACCTAGTGTGTATATAGAGTAGATAAAAAAAGAAAACATCTCTAGATGAACTAGAAACACACGAACGAAACGGTTAGGAAAGCCTTTGTCTGGTGTCTCCTGGAAGAGAATGTAACGAAGACCTGTATGGATGAGTCGTCCGCACCAGGACTTTTCTACGCTAATTGACATAGTATGGTAAATTAAGTTCCATGAACTGAGAGTGCTGGTGTACTAACTAAAGCAACCCATAGCTGTTACCAATACTTGGTTAGTGAGGGACGCTGACGTTACTAAGGGCTATCAGTGTACACCAACCTAAAAATGGGGAAAAACGAAATGCCCAAATGTGTGAAGAGCGAGCATAACAGTGAGACAGGGTTGTTATGAAATTACGGGTTGGCCAGTGAATACCCGCCCATCGACTGAAGAAGTACGGTCTTTATCTGAATCTATATTTATCCCAGTGACATAATTTATAGCCAACATATTTACTGCAAAAGGTCGTTCAGTTACGTAAATAATTAACAAGATACACTGACTTTTTTTGGAGGGCTAATATTTTTTACATAAAATTGTAGATAATGTTTCAGACCCTGGAATGTACGATACGATAGTTGGAGCAAGTTAGGTCTTTTGCGTTGTGACAGGCCACTGCTGGTTGGGAATCAATGCAAGGTAAATCCAAGTCTGCATATTACAAGATGTGATGAGGTAAATGTGTAATGACGCTCATGTTGAGATTCACCAGATAATAATTTGACAGGCTCCTGGTGAAGCAAACAAGTGTGAATGCTTACTGTGTGACTAAAAGTGAATGTGTGTTATTGGAGAGTCTAGACTTTAATATTGGAAAACAATCGGTTAGGGCTTCTAAAAATGTTCTGAAAAGGTAACTATTGTGTACAAAGAGCTAGAGATATGTCGAAATATCTTATCAATGTGTCCTCAACCGACAATGAAGGAAAAACAATTACTAAATTCAACTATGACATACTGTCTATAGCTTCTTCTTCACTAAAAATGAAGTTTTCTTGTGACTACTTTCTCATACCAAACCATGTTAGTACAGTAGTCCTTATGATATTCATGGCAGGATAAAGGGAGCCCCACTGATGGATATGATTGTCGAACCTATAACATTACTGTTTTATATATCTCTGAGGCACTCTAGGTTACCAAGGGTTAGAAAAGTACGATTATCAGTCAACATATTGAATTATTTACGAACTACTAAGCCGTCAATCTCACCAGCATTGTCGTCAAACTAAGAAGAATAAGTATAAGAGTGACTATTCCAAACTATTTATGAGAGAATATTCTCCCGGCCCCAAAACAATAATATTTGATGAAAAGACTTTCACACTTGACAAATATTCTTGTTCCAAATAAAGATCAGAGTGAAGTGGAATGTAATGATTTCCTGATAGACGTTTTTTGGTGAAGCCTTCTGCAACCTTTCTCGCCTAAGCTTTACATGAAAACTTGAAACTATATGGAGTCTGTTATTGGATTAGAAACTGGACAAGTGATTCTCTGGATGATAAAAAACAACGGGTATGAGGGAACGGAATCTCATCAGCATGAGGATTTCGAATTCTGTTGGCAATTGTTATCGCTTCGATAAAAAATCGTTTACAATATCACACCAAACGTCTATTGAACTTCACTGATCAGACGGCGAGTCCTTGTTTCGAGTTTGAAAGGGATATACTAAAATGTGTCCAATGTTGATTGACCAAATTGGTGGAAAGCCTGACTGACTTCCTTACGAATATAAGAAGAGGCCTCGGACTATTACTATTGTCTCACTACTGGCCCTTAGGTGATATATTACTGCTTTACTTAATAGTGGATGGTAATTTTTGTAGCAATATGTCTTATTTTCTCCTTTGTCTGTGACTGATCGTCTGCGTTTGGATGTCTATTTAGTAAACAGAGAGATGAATTGCAGAAAATCCCCAACAGAACACATATTGTCAACACTTTGTTTATACAATCAAAATGAGACTGCATTTTCATAGCTTTATAAATATCCAACCCACATCATTAAAGACTGAATTAGAGGTCTTTGCAGTTAGTAGTCGTTCCTCTTTCGCCCAATAATATGGTTGTCAAATGCAGTATTTGAAATAAACAGTTTACCGAGAATACAGAATATTTCCAGTAAAAAGCCACTGGTTTCTTAGCGCTCACTCCGAGAGAAAGACTGAGAATGCATCGATCGTTTAAACAAAGAGATGTCGTCTGATAAACTGAAGATTGTGGGAAGCCGTTTTCATGTGTGAATGGGTGGGTGTGTAAGAAGCAATTGCACCAATATGTTTTTTATGCGCTACAGTACCTCCCTATTTATTCTTATGGATCGCCCACGTACTAAGCTATTATTTCGAAGCTTTGACTTCTGTACAGAAGACGAGATAATTACTATCTTCTGAATCACAAAATTCACGACAACGTAAGCGCTACTGAAGTGACATGTCACTTAGTATAGCACGTCCAAAACGTTTGTAGATATAATGATAGTTTGATAGAGATAGACAGTTTGAGACCTCATGTCTTATGGTTGTGTTTGGTTACTATATGAGAAGACCCCAAACCAAGACGCTAACATTCTTAGTAATTAACAGATAAAGCGTGAGTCCCTGTATCAAAATCCCTTTGAACCGACGTCAGTCTTGTGAAGTAGTATTCATGCTGAAAACAACATAACTAAGAGTCACTTCTGTTAAATCCCTGATGTAATGAACGAAGACATGAGGCCAGATCGAATAGGTAGTTTATTAAGACAAGAATATTTATTAGCACATACACACGCCTTATTCCCAAAATTCACTTACAAAACCAATCAGCATCTGAACGGTCTCCATTCACTGATCTTCTAGTCTTCTAGACATTTTGATTCCGCCATAAATCTGGATCCGACAATTTGATTTAGTAACTTGAGGGTGACACACTGTTGTATATCCACTCCATGATACTTATAAGCCATGTTGCCAGTAGTAGATACTGTATTAGGTCGAAGTTGAAATATTTTGGAATTATCTATAGATTTAGAAAGTGGATAATTGATTTCAATTAATGGATATAAAGAGCGAGAGTAGAAAAATCTACGTCACCGTGAAGAGCGGAATTCCACTAAGGACAATATTAGGGCCTCCTTATTTAAGGTTATCTAAATGACCTATCTATAGTTGCGAAATCATCCATCCTGTCGTTCGCGGATGGTATAAATATCCTGATACCGATGCACACTGTCGTTGATAAGATAGGACAAGGGGAAATTTGAATTCAGTGAGTTAAAAGATTAGTCAGCGATTATTTTGAGTAATTTGTAACAAGAGCATCCTAATGCGGGCTAGACACTTCGATGAGTTGCATAACTATGTATTGATTACAATATTCTAACCTAAGGTTACTGATTTAGAATTGATGCTTTAGAACTACGAGCAAACGTTAGGCAACCACTTGCAAAGCTTCTTATAGTCTTATAGTCAAGGGGTATTTCCGTCTGTAACTTCCATGAAGAAGATTTTCCAATAACGTACCCTATATTTTTAGTGCTGTCTTTATAATATGAGATAGAAACCAGTAAACTCTTTGCTTGTATATCAAGGGAGGACCTAAATAAATTACATATTGATGACTTGGGAGGTACACGTCAGTTTTGTAGGCATATTCAAATGGTCAGTGTTTTCGACAAACCTATTTCCATTATCTAACAAGTTGATCAAGCGTGGATAAGTTGCATCTAAGTGAATTAATATTTGAAATGTAAACAGTTAAAAATTATCAGTTTGGTTGTATCCAGCAGGATTTCCTGAGATAATTCCATACCCTCCCTTAGTGACAGTACTTGCCAATGTGAAACAACCCATAATACTTGAGCTGAATGCACACCACTTAAGACCCATTATATCACAGAGTGGTTATGACTTTTTGTCTCACCTCTTGAAATAAGAACTCAAGATATTTTTACTCATCTAAGTGTTGCGACAGACAATTAATTATGTTACTACTAAATCACTTCTGACATTAAACTGTCTGTTTTGCCTTCAACTTCGAAGCGAATAAAGAAGCGAATAAAAAAAGAACTATGCCTCTCCATAACAAATAGCAAGGAACAGACACTTTGCTAATTCTGCCAGCCAAAATGAAAATTTAAAGGGTATTTGATATTTTCTGTCACTGTCTAATTTATAGTTTCCATTCTTAGTACTCATCAAGACTACTGGTTTCTCCTTGATTGAGTTACTTACAGTTAAACCAACTAATATCATTTTTTCCAAAAGTAATTCTGCCTCTGTACTTTTACTGGTCATAATAATTGCTTTCATTTGTTTCGTTTTCAGACTTAACAATTCACGGTTGGCTTTTTCCGGATAACATATTTCACGATGTGTTATTGAACCTGAACCAGACAAAAACTACCGACTGATAACTGTATGGTTGAACAGAAGCAAATAAGAACGCAAATGCTGTAGGTACTTTGTGGAAAATGGCATGGAGTATGATGAATGTCAACGATGGTTCCACGAGTTCTGCATGAATCTAATACCTGAGGCCTTCAAACAGTTGGGTATAATGTTTGTGCGGTTTTGCTTACGATGCTGCTCGGACTCAAAAGGGTTGTGATGGTAAACGCTGCTAATGGTATATTAACCAGGGCAACCGAGGTGGATTTTAGGATACTCGCTCTTGCTTTCATCTCATCTAGATCAAATTGTCACAAATGCTTTCACAATTACTGTAAAGTTATAGCAGTTAAATTAAGTATAAGATTCAGTTTCTGATTGCACATTTACACCATGTCGCTGACAGAAACAGTATTATACAGCCGCATTTTCAATAGTAGAGTACAA